AAAAAAATATTTTTGCCAAACTCTTAACAATGCAGCCCTTATTATATGATTTCTGAAAGTTTTATCAATCTTGGTATAGAGAATCTTATGATACTTTTGATTTTTCTATACATTTTCTATACTACGCAGTCCTTACCACCCCTTTACAATGGAGAACCTAAGGTCATATTTCAGCTACATTTTTGCTGCCAAACTTTGAATCTTTGATCAACCTCTAGATATCTTGTGTAGAGTACAGAGTGAATCTATATATATGGTTCCTTGCTTTTCAATAAAGCAAAAAAAATATTTAGGACTGTTTAACAAAGAAAGAAGGGGGATCTGGGGCTAGAGATTTAGACTTGTTTGACATTAAGAGACTCTTTTTTAGTCCCTCATGGTCCTGTCTTCCACATTATGAAGTATTCATATGCTACTAAGTCTGCACATATGTACATGCAGCAGAGAGCTGCATGTCAAACCATCTAACTGCCACATATACTTGCATAGCTTGTTTCAACAGAATTGTTGGTAACTGGGCAGTCTTAGACATATAAATTGTAAGCAAATTATAATAAATTAACAGGTTTACTGCACAAACATCACAGTCTTCCATAATATAGTACATAATGGCCAAAACAGTTCCTAATGAAAAATCAGAATAAATCATACTGAGGAAAGTATAAAATATGTTAATAAGTTTAATTAATATTTTGTTCATTAAATATAAAACAAATGTAATATTACTTTGAAATCATTTGGATTTAACATATGCTATTTTATTTATTCATTTCACTTTACACCAACCAATAACAGGCAGTGAATAATTAGTTGGAGTTTATCATAAAAGATAAAATTGTATAAAAACCATGTAACAGGCATGCTATTCCCTTCAGAAAAGGTAACATGCACGGTATAGAACAACAGTAATACGTAACAAGAAAAAGCAATTAAGGGCAGAGATAAGATGATGGAAAGTATAATGAATATTGGTTTAACCTCAGTACCATTGGGTAAATTACCTCTCTGTAAATTACCTTTACATGCTTGCAGATCATACTTGCTTCCACTATGACCATACAGCATGCTTTAGAATGACACATCCTAGTATTCTCCCAAACATTCCTTTTTTGAATCAATAAATTTTGCTAATTCTTGGCATACCTAATTCTCATTTCCATATATCAAAGTGGACAGAAGCTGTTATTCACAGACTATTACTTCTTTCAATGAACATTAATTCCTCACAATAAGCCATAGCTTTCAGCTAGCACTGTCTGTGTCAAAATTTCTCTATTCATTTTCATATCTTCAATAAACATTCTGCCAATTTGCTCTACATTTTTGACATTGAATAATGCAATATACCACTTCACTAAGTTTTTCCTGTCATGCAGTTCTCTTAATTTTTGATAATTTTATTTAATTTTTTTGTTCACATCCTACGTTGCATCATACAGTCTACCTAAGGTTTACCACAAATCATTTGATTTAGCAGCCCCAAACCTGACATCATCTGCATATAACACTGAAAGTCTTTAAGAAGAGACTGGACAGCCATTTGTCTGAAATGGTATAGGGCAGTGATGGCAAAACTTTTAGAGACTGAGTGACCAAACTGCAATCCAAAACCCACTTAGGTATTGTCGGGTGCTGGGTGGGCATGGCCCATTGGGTGGGCATGACCCATTGGGTGGGCATGGCTTCAGTGATGACGGCAGACTGGTTGGGACTAAAAAGTTCAATCAATCAATTCCAACTTTGTGAGATCTTTTTTTTCCCGTGAGAAGTTGAAATTGATTGATTGAACCTGGGTTTTTTTTGCACACCATGGCGAAGACCTAAAGCAAAAAGGTTTTATAAAACCCAGCTGAAGGACTAAGACTGGGGCGACAAAGCGCATGCCCACAGAGAGGGCTCTGCATGCCACCTGTGGCATGCGTGCTATAGGTTCGCCACCATGGGTATAGGGTTTCCTGCCTGAGCAGGGGTTGGACTAGATGACCTCCAAGGTCCCTTCCAACTTCTTTATTATCATTATTATTGTTATTAATATTAATAGTACAGACATGTTAACAACCCTAATTGATACACCTTTAACATCATGAGAAGCATCTCTTTTACTTGTTTCTGTAAATGCATTAAATAAGAAAGAAAGTATAACATAGTTTGTCTTCCCCCATGTTCAGTGTTGGACCACTGATGAAATATTCCATTTATTCTCTTATGTGTTTTAAAACCATCATATCCTGCTCTTTTCACATTCAGCAACTAATTTTCATATTCATGCAGAATATATCATAATATTTTCATCTTCATCATATTTTTCTTAATTACTAGACTAGAATTAATTTTTTTCCATTTATTTTTCAAGTGGCCAAAAAGCTGATCTGCACTTTTATTAGTCTGGCATAAAGCCATTTTGCATTTCCAAATTTTGCTCCCTGTCATTTGTTTTTCTCTTTGCATCAAAATTCTTCAGATACCTTTTTCATAAGTAACAATAATGATTTTTTTTCAGTAGTCAGAAACAGATAACTATCTTCACTGGTTAAACAACAAACTATCAAAACTCCATCAACAAACTACATCTGTATTTTATTGTTTCTTTAATATACTGTTTACATCTGCAGCCATATTATTTTTTACTTTTTCACGGTGTTAATGAATTCATTCATATATTTTTCTAGCATTTTGTAGAATTAATTTAAATCACTTTTTCAACATATCATTCTGTGAGAGAGATGGGAATTTTGATATATAACTAAATAAACATCAATATTATCCCCACATAAATTTTTAAAATATTCTTTTCAACATTTTCTAACTTAAAGTTCATTTTAGATCTTTTCACCAGTTTTACTTTTATTTCCATTCACTTCATTTCAAGTTATTTCATCAGTGTTATTTTTGTCCTCATTTACTCTGTTGGAGGTTCTTGGTTTAGTTCCCTTCATTTTTCCCAAAACATTTTATTTGCATCAGAATTCTTTTTTCAAGACCAGGGTGTCTTTGCAGTTATAGTTTCATCTATATCCATGTTGTACAACATATTCCAACTTCGTTCTTTATATGAATTTTTCTTCATCCACACCAAGCATCCTTGTCTTATTTCTTTGGCACTTTGTAACATAATTCCTTTCATTCTGTCTCAAGTAGTTCCCATATTATCTTCTTTCACGTTCTTTCTTTTACAAGATTAGCCTGTCGTTAATACTCTTTCATATAGGCCAGCATTTTCTATCCTTGCAGTTCTGTTTTCACTCTAAGTTTCTTTTTTTGTTTGTTTTGATTATATTCATTTTCCCCAAAAGCTAGTCAGAGTTGAGAACCTTTCATCAATCTTGCATCCCTCCCTAATTCTCTCAGCTTTCAACAATCAACTCATGTTTTCAGATAAATTCATTTGCCATATTTACACATTAATAGACTGCTCGCTTGAGCCAGGTATTTTAAATAAACATAACTTTTCCTTAGCAAATAAATTCTAGTCACTATTCTTTTTCATACTTGGGCCATGATCCAATCATTTTTCCTATACTTTTGTTTTATTCTCACTCATCAGTCTATATAATCTTACAGAATATTTTTCCCCCACAGCATATTAATTCAAAATGTCACACAATAGTCAAATCAAATAAATATAATATAAATGATATAAAAGTCAATATAGACAATAGTACCCCAAACAAGATAAATATCAAGAGCAGTAATAATAATCATACTAAATATAGCATGAAATCTCAATAATACAGAGTCTATAAGTCAACTACACCTCCTATGCCATTTCAAACCTAATTAATTTTAACAGCATGGTTTAAACACAGTTCACAGAAAAGTCCTTTTTTTCCTTTAAATGGAAGGAGGAAAAAAAAGAGGAGAAATGCTAATAGCTGATGCTCTTGGAATTCAAGTGCATGGGTTCATTGCATCTAATTTATGTATACATAAAATTTAAATGAACTACCGTGAAAACAAAAAACGGTTGCAATTTCCATTTGCATAGTTGTGTAACTTTTAAATTTAAGTTTCCTTTGTAGTGATATAATCCTTTAATTCTTGTCATCAAAACTGAATTGAAATTGAACCTAGTTGATGGAATATTTTTTTATTTCTATGGAACTCCAGTATTAAATTATATTCCAAATATTGCTGTCAAATTTGAAGCTTCCCTAGACATTTAGTGTTCACCTTGAAGATGCAACTTTATCAGTGACTGTGTGATATTATCTGCTTCAACCCCTCACTTTCTTTATTTCTACTTTAGATCTCATCAAGTACATCCCATTCAGGTCCTTCTGAATTAACAAAACAATGTGGGACATCAGCATTGTTTCAGTTGGCAGAGGTAGTATTAAAATCCTGTGGCTTAATTACTACTGGTACATTTGGGAAATAGAAGCTGAATGATACTGGTTGCCAAAGTCTAGGAAATAGAGCTATAGTACAGACATAATTAGCATTGTTGTTTATAGAAGCCTAAATTACTGTTCATGCCAAGAATCTAGATTTATCTTGTCTAACCATTAGGCATGTAGTCTCTGTAATATCAAGAAGTTACAAACAGCTAGCTTTAAGAAGAGGTAGCCTACTGAGTAGAGCATAATTGTAAATTGCATACAGGATTTCTCTTAAATAGTTTTAAACATTTCATATCTTTAAAGGAAGAAGTTTATATAATGATGCATGCATAAGTTGTATCGCTTATCACTAGATATTTATGGGCCTTGACCAGTTGCAGATCATAAAAGAGAAGTCGTGGAAACTATTTCTCATTCAGAGAGTGTGATTCTTAAATCCATCCAAACACTAAACAATAGGGCATCCTTTTCCCAGTATGTCCCAAAGCAGTATGCCAAGGGCACAATCCCCTTTTAGCTCTTTTGCTTCCACACATGAGTGTCCTAAAGTTGTATCCAGACAGATGATCTCTATCTCACCCTACCATTCTCAAGCCTGTCAGTGTCTCAGAGGTAGTAGTTAATCAAGAATAAATTACTTTCTAAAAACATCTTCTTATTGTTTAAGCTATATACTTTGCCCTCTTCCACAGTTCTTCCACAGTTGGTGATTTATAGCTCTCAGTAAAGGTAGCAAACAAATAGGGGTAAATTCTTGTTTTTTATGTTGAATTAATTCCTCAAATGTACATTTCAAGATTTGGTCAGAAAGGGAAAAGAAAATAATTGTAAAGAACCTTCCTTGAGTGTTGTAATATAAGATTTTAGACCTAATTGAACATGAACATAAATCTATAATTCATTGAAATTGCATATAAGTCTGTTTTGGTACGTAGCACATATCTACATATTTGCACTGAGGAAGCAACCAAGTGCCAATAAATCATATATTTTTCAGACAACATGTATAATATAGTTTTACTGTTATTTTCATGTGTGCAACTTTTAAAAACAAAAGTGATAAAAATCAGAGTAAATTCAATGCACTCAATGTACAATAAAATACTGCAGGCTAGATCCTATGCAAGAAATTTATTACATATACATAATATGTAATAGCACATTGTGTTCTTCTTCTTAAGAAAAAGCAGTATTATACAAAACACAAACATAATAAAAAATAATAAACCAAACAATTTAAAGACGTGAGATAAAAATAAAAAAGAAATATAACTAAAACCAATACCATTCACTCTACTTCTCCATACAGATAGTCTTTGATTTACAACAGTTCATTTAATGACCATTCAAAGTTACAATGGCACTGAAAAAAGTGACCTATGACCATTTTTTTTGCCTATGACCCTTGCAGCATTCCCCACAGTCATGATCAAAATTGGCAACTGACTCATATTTATGATGGTTGCAGTGTCCCAAGGCCATGTGATCCCTTTTGTGATTTTCTGACAAGCAAAGTCAATGGGGAAGCCAGATTCACTTAACAACCATTTTACTAATTTATCAACTGCCGTGATTCACTTAACAACTGTGGCAAGTAAGGTTGTAAAATGCGGCAAAATTCACTTAACAAATGTCTTGCTTAGCAACAGAAATTTTGGTCTCAATTGTGGTCGTAAGTTGAGGACTACCTGTACTTTCTAGCCTTACAAATTGCATGAGCTGCCTTTTGCTATTTAAATTTCTTTACCTCTATCTTTTTATGGATATCATCAATTCCAACTTTCTTAATCCTTCGCATCCTCTGGAGCCACTCATTCTTTATACATTTGATTCTCATTAATTCTGTCCACATGATCAAACCAAGATACTTTATTTATATGTCAGTTATATTTTGTATTTACTCCACTTTTTTAATGTCCTTTTTTAAAATACTATCTACTCAACTGTAGTATTTTTGGCATTCATGTATAGTTTGTTATCATTCACTTCATTTTTCTTATTAAACAGTGGAAACTTTGTCTTTGAACGATTAATTTTAGCTCAGTATTCATCATTGTGTCAGATATGCAGCAATGTAAGCTAGTATGTCATAAATGAAACCAGAGCCTAGTTTTAAACTAAGCATACTCATATTATTCTATGGAGGACAGAATCTGCACAGAGACAGACTCTCACAAGTCAGCATAATCCTTTTTACATCCCACCAACTTTGGGGCAAATGTAGCAGGCTGACAAACTCAAGCTGCAAAGATTTATTAAATTAAGAATTTTATGCTTTTATGAAAGCATTTTAAATATGAAACTCTGAAAGAATATCAGCAAAGCTATCACTGCCATTTTATTAGCTTATACCAATAAAATAGTATTATACCCTTTATATTTTCTTCTTTGCAATAATTTAAATAGCAACATCTTTGAGATGAAACTGAGTCTAAAACTGACATGTTGGATCAGTTCCTGAAGTATAGCTATTATTTAAAAACTCTTAAGTTGGGTTCCATGTATATACCATACAGAAATTAAAGGTATTATGCATGTACTCTAGAGCTAATGAAATTAAATTTCAATGTTTTTTCAGAACTCATACAGCTTAATTGAAATTGAAATAAGAGCATTTTCCCTATGCCATTCAATGATTTTGCTACCAGATTGCTAAGAGTACATAATTGAATATAATGTGTTTACCATTGTAGACAGTTAATTTACTAGTGTAATGCATACTTGTTCCAAAGTATTTGTATAAGATTTATATATTCCCAACTTTCAAAGAGTTCAGTGCGATCAACATGAAGACACAAGAGTGTTTTTGTTAAATGTATCTTCCATGGTATATAGTATAGGAAATATAGAATACACTGCTACTAAAATGAGTCTACTAGTGCTAGAGTAATTTATAGAACTGTTACACAATTTTTAAAATTCCATAATAAAGGAGAATTAATATTGGAGTTTGTTTCAGATGTGCCTTGCATCTGAGGAAGTAAAAGTGAGAGAATCTGGAAAGGCAAAACCTGAAACAGCCAGGATTGTCAAAACACTGGAAGCATCTGAACAGATGAAAGTCGAAGATCCGGAGAGAGCAAAAGTAAAAACAGAAAAATCTCAGAAAATGAAGGGACAAGAACATGAAAAGACAAAGACTGGAGTTTTTGAGGAGGTGACAAGGTGTGTGCATATTTCAGATCCAGCTTTGAACAGCATTGCATTAGCTGGACATGACAGTGCAACAGCAAAAGATCCTGCATGCTGTTCCCATGAGCTGACATCAGTAGCTGACATCAGCATTTTAGGATTAAACAAACCAGAAAAGCTGAAGAAGAAAAAGAAGAAAAATAAAGTGGACCGACAAGGACTTGAGAAATGTAATCCTAAAAAGACTTGCAAAAAGAGGCAGTCTTCCGAATCAGACATTGAGAGTGTCATTTATACTATTGAAGCAGTTGCAAAAGGGGACTGGGGGACAGAGAGACTTACAGAAATGTCCCATAAGAAAATTCGCCTTTCTTCTGCAGTAAAGGGGAATATTTTGGACACAAAGTCGCCAAAGAAGAAAGTAAAATCAAAAGAAAAAAGATCACTGAAAGAAAAATGTTTAGAGACCGCCAAAGAATCAAAGCCTCCTGATTTTTTTAGCATTAAAGATAACAAGGATGTACCATTTGAAGTATCTGAAAACACAACATCAGATGTTCTAACCCCAACAGAGGATATAATATCACAGAGTTTACCAGATCAAGTAAAAATTGAAGACAATGACTGTAATAAAAAGGCAGAAATTTGCGGCTCAAGAAAATCTGAAAGAGCTTGCAAAGGTGCTCTGTACAAAACTCTGGTGTCAGAAGGCATGCTTACATCTCTGCGTTCCAATGTTGACAGAGGTATTTGGCTTTTAATATGTCTGTCTCAAAATTTTAAAACCCATAACATAATTGTTTTTTATGTTTCATTATTCAAAGTAAATTGAATATAATTCCTTCTAGTCTTTGACAATAAGTCTGCTTTTAGTGAGCTTGTTTCTAGAATATGCGTCAGTGATAATAGCAAACGGCTGCATATTTTCTCTCCATGATTTTAATTACTTATTTATAACACTTTTAACAGTGCCATGTGGTTCAAATTCAAAGCAAAGGCTTGTTCCAGATGAGACAAAAAGGAGAGGCTAGGAAGTTCAAACTAAGACATATCAAATGAATATTTGATTATTTTCCAAAATATTCAATCACCTTGGTGATACTTAAAACATAACTTCAAGAACTGGTATTTTAGGTGTACACTATAATGTACAACAGTGCACCTAAAATACCAGTTCTTGAAGTTATGCTCTTTTTTTTTACCGCAGCACCTAATGCCATTTTATGTCATTGATAACCTTCTCCACATACTTTCCAATTCTATTAGAATGTAGCTAACCTTCATATCATAATGAATAATTGGTATTTCAGAGGACTGTTCTTAATTCACATCTCAAATTGTCCTTCTACATTCCTAGATATTAATCAGAAAAGATGCTTTCATACCATGGCAGTATCCCTCAAAATAAGGAAAGATATTTGCTATTATACATTTGCCATTATATAAATGGTTGCTTATTTAGGCTGAACATTGTACTATTTTTTTTTAAAAAAAAAAAACCAGTATCCACAACCATTGTACTAGATTTATGGAGCATATGCAAAAATCTTTTAAGAATGCATTTATTTCTTCATTGCTTACAGTTCTGTCTCACTTTTTTACATAGATTCATAGGATTCCAAGATAGTTTTCCACCCAGGGATTAATTAGCCTTTAGTTTCAAGCAAACTGGAATCTGAATAAATCCTGCTTACTATGACATGAAAAGATTTTTGTATCCAATTGTATTAGTTTATAATTTTCAATACATAGAAAGGAGAGTGCCTAAGTTAATATTCAATTTCCCTTTGTATATTTGTTTGTGTGAGTCTCTTTGCAGTTCATAGTTAGGAATATGTGCAGGGTTTTTTTAAACATACATTCCCATTTTTAGCCTCAAGCATAGTAGATATCCAGTTGCTTAGTAAAGCTTTATATGAAGGCTGTAAAATGCTAACAGTATGAATTATTAAACAATGATCGCTGTTGATATATTTGTTATTTTAAGCAGATTATTTTCTTTCATTCCTTAGTTCTAGGTTCATATTTACTAATTAGCATTAAATTATACTAGTTATATCAATTCATGGGACTTGCTTAGAAATTGCCATATTAAATAATGATGTAATGATTTTGTGAGTCTTACAATAGTCTCTGATGGAATATCTAGCTAGATGAATCAGTCATCCTACTTAGCAAAAAGCAATATATTATGTTTCTAGTGTGTCTCTATTATAAAGTTTCCCAGTAATCTCCATGCAATTTTTCTTGTTCCTACTTACTTTCTTAGGAAAACGAAGCTCAGGGAAAGGTGGCAACTCTGATCAGGAAGGATGCTGGAATGAAGAAACTTGGGCATTTTCCTTAAGTGGGACAAGTGGGAACAAAAAGTTAAAAAGAAGCAAGCCAAAGGAAGACATTGTTTTGGGGTAAGTGATAAGGGTACAAGTAATGTAAGGGTACAAGTCATTTTCAGAATAGTATAGTAATCATTAAAAATGAAACATCTTGTTAAACAGGTATCTTGCTTATTTATGTAATTTTTGTCACTTTTGTCAGTTTCGGCCTATACTATCTGGGTCACAATTCCTTTGATTTGTAAATTTTAGGTTTGCAAAAATGATGTACAAGATTTAGATTTGAAACAAGTCAAACCATAGTGAACTGTTTTCAAGTATATACATGCATACATGTATATCCTATATACTCATGGATAAGTCAAGAATTTTAGGTTCCAAAATACATCCCCCAAACTGTGTTTTACTTATTTCCAGGTGGGCTTATCTGCAAATATATACACTAGTAATTTTCTAAAGTACCCGTATTTACTCACAGATAAGCTTATTCTTGATTTTTTAAACTAAAATACCATGAAAAAATGTCGTTCACAGATAATTATGAAATAATTATAACAATATAATTATTATATAATTATGACTATCAAAAATTAAAATTAAAATACATAAAGTAATTTTGAGGCTAATCCGGGGTATCTTTTTCATGGTATTTTGATTAACAGTTTTGATTAAAAATTCAAGGGTTAGCTTATCTACAGATGGGTTAATCCGCAAGTATATATTGTACCTACATTAAAAGTGCAAGACATGGGAAATCATTTGTATACTAAGGAATGGTTGCTGGAACTGGGAATGTCTAGTTTAATGAAGAGAAGGACGAGGGGGGACATGATAGCAGTGTTCCAATATCTCAGGGACTGCCACAAAGAAGAGGGAGTCAAGCTATTCTCCAAAGCACCTGAAGGCAGGACAAGAAGCAACGGATGGAAACTAATGAAGAAGAGAAGCAACCTAGAACTAAGGAGAAACTTCCTGACAGTTAGAACAATTAACCAGTGGAACAACCTGCCTCCAGAAGAGGTGAATGCTCCAACACTGGAAGTTTTTAAGAAGAGACTGGCAGCCATTTGTCCAAAATGGTATAGGGTTTCCTGCCTGAGCAGGGGGTTGGACTAGATGACCTCCAAGGTCCCTTCCAACTTTTTATTATTATTATTATTATTATTATTATTATTATTATTATTATTATTATTATTATTATTATTATTATTATTATTATTATTATTATTATTATTATTATTATTATTATTATTATACATGCAAAACTGCCCTAAACAGGAGCAAATCCTAATATTGCTTGATGGATACACTGATACATGGATATGGGAATGCAGCCCTACTGGCCCTGCTAAATATTTTGGTCACCTTCTATTCTATTAAAATAGTATGCTTCTAGATCACCAATGAGTTGGAATCACTCCTCTTTAATGGTTCTGCTTCTTCATGAGTGGATGGTTCCAGATAGTGTGTAGGAAGAGAATTCAAGCTCTGGAGGACTCCAGCACTTGGGCCTTAGGGCTGGACCATCTCCCCTATTTTATTCAATATTTTCATAGTATAATAAAATCTACATTATTTTAATTTGTTTGTTTTCTGCTTTCACATCTTTAGCTTAGCAAAGCTGGAAGAAGAATTTGAAAAAAAGTTCAACAGCCTTCCTCAATTCAGTCCAATCACATTTGATCGTAAAAATGCCTCTCTACCAAGAAAAAAGAAAAAAGTTGGCAGTTGCACTGTAGTGGTTTGTTTTAGATTGTTTCCATTCACGAATATCGTTACGTTTGAGTGAAAGAATTTAGGTGTAAAAATCCAGTCTTCAAGTAAATACGTACTTCTATCTACTTCCTTACAGTCTTAAAAACGTAAGAAAAGGACAAAAAGGGGACCGTAAAGTCTCCCGATCTTTTCTGTTTAGACCTTAAGGACCGACAAAACACAGTTTTGTGTAATATATTTCTGTTTTATAATTCATTACTAATATATATAATTCATTACTGATAACTTTTCAGAGAGATAATTTGGTGGAGTGGTTAAGGCATCAGGTAGAAACCAGGAGACTCTTTAAGTTCTAGTCCTTTCTTGGGCATGAAGCAACAAAGTAACCTTGGGCTAGTCACTTTCTCTCAGCCCTAGGAAAAAGGAAAACAAATATATATATTTGTGAAGTATTGGCCAATTAGGGCATATGAGGATTCATGAAATAACACTATAAAGTGTTTAGCCACAAGAAATATAATCCAACAAAAGTTAAATCAAGAGTATATATGATACCTGTAGAACTAGAGATTCATCCACCCAAGAAGGTCAGTAATGCTGCTGAGTCATAGGTTTCCTACCAATCAACTAGAAACTATATTCCTTTACTCCTTTTCTCATACATAACTAGAATCAAGTTTATATACAAAATGGAAAAGATTGTAAACAAATTGGTTAACTAAGCTATTTTTAATGTTGCTTCGGTATTCAATACATTGCTTCATATGATATTTAATATTTTACAGTACTTTACTGTGTTATCAAGCCATGTCTCTGCAGCTAAGATACCGTATTTATTGGCGTATAACACGCACCGGCGTATAACACGCACCTTCATTTTAAGGGAAATTTCAGGAAAAAACTTAAAGGTGGGGCCGGGCGGCGGAGAGCTTGGCAGCAGCGGCAGCAGGAGGATGGGGAAGGGGCGTGGCTGCCCGGGCCAAGGTGGGGCCAGGTGGCGAAGGGCCGCGGCTGCCCGGGCCGAGATGGGGCCGGGCAGCGGAGAGCTTGGCGGTGGCGGCAGCGGGAGGACGGGGAAGAGGCGCGGCTGCCCAGGCGGCGAAGGACCGCAGTGGCAGCGGCAGCAGGACGGTGAAGGGCCGCGGCTGCCCGGGCCGAGATGGGGCCGGGCGGCGGAGAGCTTGGCGGTGGCGGCAGCGGCAGCAGGAGGACGGGGAAGGGCCGCGGCTGCCCGGGCCGAGATGGGGCCGGGCGGCGGAGAGCTTGGCGGTGGCGGNACCAAACAAAATCTAACAAAGGTAAGTGCTTATAGCAATGCAAACTCACTTTCTTAAATCCACATTTTTAGGTCAGAAGTTCATTTATGCATGAAGATAGATGAAGGAATGTCAGAATTTTTGCATTCTTTTCCTGTTTTTCCCCTGGCATTTCAGAGGGCTAGAAAAGACAAATCTGGAATTCCTGGCTGTTTTGTGTAATATATTTCTGTTTTATAATTCATTACTAATATATATAATTCATTACTGATAACTTTTCAGAGAGATAATTTGGTGGAGTGGTTAAGGCATCAGGTAGAAACCAGGAGACTCTTTAAGTTCTAGTCCTTTCTTGGGCATGAAGCAACAAAGTAACCTTGGGCTAGTCACTTTCTCTCAGCCCTAGGAAAAAGGAAAACAAATATATATATTTGTGAAGTATTGGACAATTAGGGCATATGAGGATTCATGAAATAACACTATAAAGTGTTTAGCCACAAGAAATATAATCCAACAAAAGTTAAATCAAGAGTATATATGATACCTGTAGAACTAGAGATTCATCCACCCAAGAAGGTCAGTAATGCTGCTGAGTCATAGGTTTCCTACCAATCAACTAGAAACTATATTCCTTCACTCCTTTTCTCATACATAACTAGAATCAAGTTTATATACAAAATGGAAAAGATTGTAAACAAATTGGTTAACTAAGCTATTTTTAATGTTGCTTCGGTATTCAATACATTGCTTCATATGATATTTAATATTTTACAGTACTTTACTGTGTTATCAAGCCATGTCTCTGCAGCTAAGATACCGTACTTCTATAATTACTCATAAATGAGTTCTTTTCTCTGCAAATGTAATTAAAAGCATTCTCCTCAGAAAGAAGAAACCAGTTATTTAATGTTATTTAAGTAGAGAAACCCATATGAAAAATACTGAAAATAAAACAAATTAGTAGATAATTCAACTTGAAGAATTCTAATAGAGTGGCTTATGTGAAAACAGTCCAATTTAGTTGAGATGAAGTTACTTTTATTTGCTTTTTGTGGGATGAAATACTCAACATTTGAAAGATTGTTCCTATAGGTAGTTTTTGTCTACCACAGATGGAATCAGAATTTCCATTGCTAAGCAATATGACCATTAACTGAGTCATACCCAATTTTATTACTTTTTTGTCACAGTTGCTAAGCAAATCACCGCAATTACACTAATTGCATGGTTGTTAAGTGAACGTGGCTTCCTCTATTGAGTTTCCATGTCAGATGCCCCCTGGGAAGGTTGCACATTACCAGTGTGCAACCTTCCCAGTGTTTCCCAAGTTTTTCAGTGTCATCAAAACTTTGGATATCATTAAATAAATGGTCATCATTAGAACATTATCTGTATTTTGAAAAAACTATCAAAAATGTTCATAGAACAATACCATTGCTAATAAAGTGCCCCTCCCCAATTCTAGTGTGCAGATAAAAGCTTTGACTCAATTAAATAAATGTAAGGAGCTAAGGAGTAATCTATCTATGCAGTTTCAATAAGGGTTAAAAGAGTCACTGTAGTTACTGTAGTGACTCTTTTAACCCTTATTGAAACTGCATAGATAGATTTCTCCTTAGCTCCTTACATTTATTTAGAATTTCTTAAAAGATCTGTGTAGAATATTTTGCTAACCGTCAAGTAGCTTCACTGCAACCTTATTCTAGCACCAGTGAGGTGTTAGGGAAAAATAACAGCTCTAACTTTCTTCTAAATATTCCAGAGTTTGTGGTAATACAAGAACCACTGGTTGGAAGTCAGAAGAGAAAAGCAAGGAAAACCAAGATCACACATCTTGTTCGAACAGCAGATGGTCGAGTTTCACCAGCAGAGCAAGATCTGGGTAAGTAAATATGACTAATTTTTTTTACTACTACTACAAATTCATTCATTACTCAAATTTGTCTATGAGTTCCAGGAATCATAGAAACAAAAAAGAAATTGCAAAAATGTAGGTTTGTAAGCTATTAGTTGTTTAAACAACTGGTACAAGTGAATATATTTTGTGCTGTTAGTGTTATACAGTTTCACAACGAAGTGGTCTGTAAAGAATTTTTAAAAAATATATGTATATTTAAGAAAGAACTTAAAGAAAGAACTAGACCATTCCAAAAATATGCCCTCATATTTTTATCAAAAGGTCCAGATTTCTGGTACAAAACTTTCTTGAATTGTAATTTTATAGAATTTCTTTTTCCTGGGATTGTTCCAGTATTCTTTGAAAAGTCTAAAAAGAAATAAACCTATCCTGAATTAAGCTAAGTTCATTAAATATATACCTATTATTTGATCAATGTACATCAAGAAAACTATACATAATGAATCATGCAATCTTTTATGTCTTGTGACTAGATAGCATAGTTACTTAGCATAGAGCAGGTTCATCTTGTAGCAACTGTATGGACAATTGCCCACTGTGGTTTCCTTTCTTCAGTAATAAATGATCCAAGGACATTTTGATAATCTACTTGATCTCCTTCATCCATCATATATATTGTTTTCCTCTTATATTTACCTCAATCTTGCCGAGCATAAGCATTCTTTTCCTAGCCCAACATATACTTGTATTACATGCACATCAATTAGTAAACCTTTATCTGGTCAGATGTAATTCATTGGTTCTACTTGCAGCTCGTAGTGCTTTTTATTAACATATCAAAATCTATAATTTAAAAGTAATTATCTTCTTTTCACTTTTTTCAGGTTCCAGCTTTTACAGCTGGGTGCTATTATTAGAAAGACAACTCCTTTAATTATTTAAATATTTGTGGTCACTTTTTTTTTACAATTTATCATTATATTCCTTTCTAGGATAATCTAGGTTGCAAGTTGCAAAGAATACAAAGCTTTGAATAAAGCTTCAAATAAAGGAGCTTCCCATACTTGTTTTAGGAGGCTACATTAATCCCTTGCTTCTAAGGAGAAATGGCAACAATACCTATTTAGGACCCTCTCCAAGCTTTTCAATAATGGAGAAAGCTATGATGAGTCTTCTTTGACCAGCACTTACAGGAGCCATACATACACACCTGGCTAAAGGTCACTCAGCTCACACAGCATCATCTGCATGGTGTGGTGACCATAGAATGACAGCCAAATTGCTGCCCCCTCAGATTGCACCAAAGATCATCCGGGTCATTGGTTTCAGTGAGTGCTGCCAGTTATCTCAGAGTGATACTAGAAGGGTCCAACTGCACTCTGTTGCTTCGGTGAGTAGTAAGGGAGAGAAGCAAGTGTTATGCTTTTAGCACTTATCAAAAGCTCTGGCTATGCCAGAAGGAAGGCACTCCTGACTTCCTTACAACCACAATAAGGATTATGACTACAATTTACTTGTATAGGATGCTGTCTAGTGCTGGGGAAGAGTCAAGTGGCATGTCCTACTTGTTGACAAATGGCATGTCAGACTTGTTGACAAGTAGCTCTGACCAAAACTTACCCAGGCTGAGTATCTCCATTGGAAACAATGCTAATTCCACCCAGCTCCAGAAGTATTTTGGCCAGCATTGGCAAAGAAAGATGAGAGCAGCTGTCTTCCTCAGCATTGATCTGAAGCTGTTGGAAGAAAATTGATAAAGCAATTCACATTGCCTACATGGCCCAAATTACTTTCTAAAAATAAATCTAGCTCATCTCAAACACCAATACTTTATTTCCTAGCACTCTGCCCATATTTATCTATCACTGAATCCCAGAAACAAAACTGTCTACTAACTTCATCTCTTCATTGTCACTTCTAAGTTAATTAAACATACAAGTTGAGAATGCCTTTGCCTTCATACTAAGTTGGATTTTTTTTTTTACTTTTCATATATTTTCATATTCATTGACTTTTGGGATAGGATGGCAGACTGAGCATGACTCGGCTTTTTGTAGAACCAATGAATGTGGTCAAAATAGGAAGGGATTAGCTCCTCAGAAGTCTTCTCTGGACTGAAAAGACAAGGATCTCCTATATTTGGCTCCCTCTGAAGAGATTGTAAAACATTATTCTCCAGCAGATATGAGAGGTCTGGAGGAATGCAGCATCTTTTAAAGAGACTATGTTTGCCTACTTCCTATCTTAATTACTTTAGGAAACTCTTATTGTTAATTTCTGTGGAGTTAAGATCCTTCCAAAAGACTGTTTAGTTGCAGTTGTTAATGGCCAGGTAGGGCTGAAAGCAAAGGCTCACAAACTTTTACCACTTTCTTTGGGATACCTTGATCACTTTTTCTAACAGCTATTTGGATATTTTCCTTTTTGAATGTTTTTCTACTTAAGTTTACAGTGTCTTTTTAGTTCTGCAGGTTCTATTTTCCATAAAATAGGCATACTTTGTTCCTTTCATTATTCTTATGGTACATATTATATTGACTACTTGGTTTAATACTTTCATTTTGACATGGATGATGCACCTATTGCAGTTTGCCATAGAATTCTTCAGTATTTTCCGCCATTGTATCTCTACTTATCCATTATCTTGTATAAAATTAATATTTATGTATTTCCCTTTCTTCTAATACTATATTTATGATCCTGTCTTTTATTGGATGTATTATTCTTTTCGGTATCTTTGTCCCTTCATTCTTGGCTTATGATATACCTAGTAAGTCATCTGATCTAACGTGGCCAATTCTAGTCCATTTAAATTCATATTTCAAAAGCATATGTTTTAGTTTTTGTCATAATAATGCTTAAATTACTTAGCAAAAAAATAAAGTACCACATTAAGACTTGTTTAAATGTAGTACGATACATACTGTATAATTAAAAACATTTTATAATATACTAAAGACTATGGAATGTAGCACAATCTCACGGTAAGTATTAGAAGGACAAAAGCTTTCCTATATTTTCCTTCAGTGGACATAGAATTGGGAATTGATTGACTGGGTTTGTTTCTATGTTGTATGTCTCCATATTGGTTTGATTATAAAGAGAGAAAAACCGAATAATACATTTCATTTTCATCTCAGTGTAAGGAAGATTGGATTCTGTTAAAACAATCTTTGCTATTTTGCTTCCTTTTTAGAAGAAAAACCAAAAGGGCATCTGCAGAATACTCTTCAGAGAACATTAAATACAGGGATGGAGTGCAGTAAAGAATCCTTGCTAAACAACGATCTGGCAGAAAGTCATAGTATGACATCAGACATGCCATCTGTATCTGCATTCTTCAGTCTAGCTGCCTTAGCAGAGGTAGCAGCAATGGAAAATGTGCACAGGTAAATACTAGTTAAAAGGAACTATGCCTTTTTATATCTGTAGCTGTGCCTAAAGTTAAGCACCCAGATCAAGAGATGTTTACTTGAGCCTCATGAAGCATTTTAGCTAGACATTCCACATGTACATACATCATACGGTAACTGTGTGATGCCATTAATTTCTTTATCTTTTTGTTCCAATAAGGGGAAAGTATATCTCTCTTTTCCCTGCTATAGCGTTTCCAATTCCTAAAAGGCAGCCTGTAAATTCAAGGTGCACCTAGGAAAGGCCTGGAATGTAGAATGCAGTGGGAAGGTGATATTTTCTTGTACTAATTGCCTCTTCCAATAATTTGGTTGCATGGATTATTTCCTATGAACATTGATATAATAGAATGATACAGGGTGCATATTGTTAAGTCATATTAATTTAAACTCACATACTTTTTCAAAAAAGAAAAATGTAGAACTTGCAAAGTTTTACTTCTTTTTGTAACTAAAATATTGAAATGAAAATTTGTGTGTATTTATATTTATGTGTTATGGTCATACATATGTTTACGTACATAAGCGTACATCTTTGGAAACTGTTCTTGCACCTTTTTTGTTTGCCGAAAAAGATTGTTGTTTTTTTTTAAAAAAAACTGTATAATATTGTATGCCCTTTAATTACAAAGATAGCATTTTTAAATGTGATTTGTGTGTCAGTAATACAATTATTGAACTTAGAACATCAATTTAATTTCAGTCAGTGTTTTCTAAAATACTGAGAAGGAGAGATAGAGGTGATAAAAAAGTATTCTACTGGCTGTGTTATTAGGTCTGCCAAAGTGACACCTTTGTGTCATTCAACATTTATTTTATTTTATTTTTATTTTTGCTTGTTTTTAACTTCCTTTTTGCATTAAGCATTGGGGAATTGTTACATTGCATTTTAATTTTCATCAGAATGGAGTTTTGTAAAAAATGTTTGGAAAACAATTATAATGATATTCAAAATGCGAACTTTATTATCCATGCCAATGGAAATAGGAATGACCACTATATTTGTGTTAAGAATTGTATTAGTGAGGTGAAACCTACTGTGTACTGTATATATTCAAGACATTCAGTTTTAAATTTAGAATTTAGCTTAAATTCAACTCCCATATTAAGGGGGGAAAGGAAAGATTAAAAAATAAGAACAAAGTTATGAAAATGGCTTCTTAAAACTATGCCAGCTTTCACAAAGATTTGGTGTCCTCCCAAAGTATAGGATTAACATACTCTTTCTACTTGCTTACACAACTATATATATGTATGTGTATATATAAATTTCCAAATCTATTCTGAAAGAAATGCAAATCTTTCTATATTTACCACAGTAAGCAAATTGAGAATACAAGATATTCTTGCAGAAAATGTTATCTGCCAAGCATATGTATTTGCCAGGTTTCTGACAGTTTTGTCGTGGAGACATTGCATGTATTGTCTAACTACAATACAGTAAATTGGCCTTGATTTTCATATAGCAAAAACTATTCCTAATAACTAGCCCAGGCAGTTCAGTTTCCCGGTTTAAAACAAAGCACCCTTTGAGAGGGTGTTACTAAACTTTTAGGGAAACAGTTTGAAAGAGGAAACAAGCTAAGGAGCTGTTTTCCAAATATTCCTTCCAGTTGTGTGTGTATTCTATGTAAGCTCTACACTCAAAATCTCAAATGTATTGTCTACTGAAGTCCACAGAAATATGCCTTTTCTGTTCTTTCCATTTTGCTAGTGTGGTCACTTGGCGCATTATGTTATCACCAAACCGAGGAGTGGGTTTATTAATAGGATTAGTGGGAAATAGTGTGAATGTAATATAAATGTGAAGGCAGATTTCTAGTTACCTCAGTTCAGTATCCTGTATCTATTTAGTACTGTTCTCTTATTTTTAGAGGAAAAGCACAATTTCTAAAATGACAGAAATTACTTGGAAACCAAACTTTTTAGATCATTGAATCATAAAATGCAATGATTCAAAATGATTTTATCTACTTCAATCTCTTGCCCAATGCAGGAATCCAATACTAGAAGCCCTTTTTCTTAATCCCCAATATGTTAACTGTGTTTCATCTAGACATTGTAGGAGTTTTTTTAAGGAAGAGATTATCTTTCTTTCTTCAGCAAAGCATCTGTAACTCAAAAGTTTGTAATTTAGTTTTAACAAGTTTACTTTACTCTTACTAATTGGCACTTTGAATATAATTGATTATACAGTGACATCCTACTTTAACAGACTAATTGGAAGAAGGATTGTTTATTAAAGAAAATCTATTGAATCTAAGAATAGGACATTGTAGATATGTAGTCATTTGTGTGATGACCTAATTACAGAAATGGCACAAATTACATCATTTGTGTAATTTACAGTTCACATAATATACACATGATGTGATTTGCATCATATACATCACACAAATGGCATAAATCACTGTCCAAATTTGGTCTGCTGTATACAAAAAAATTCATTGTATCAAACTCTAGTAAAATAAGCTTTTGCTATACTTTAGTGTTTGGTTATAAAAAATGGTATGTTCTCTGAGTTAACATTACATCTATTCTTCCTTCGTAGGAATCAGAGAACAGCACCTCTTCCCTGTGATGGACAGCCAAAAGAAATGTCTCAGGCTCCAGTGCTTATTTCCTGTGCTGACCAGTGAAGCTCTACCCTTTTGTAAAACATTGTGCTTTACCTAATATTCTAGCCTTGTCTTTACCAATGGATGGTAGTCAGTCCGCATGATGGAGGAACTCATAGACTGAAAATGAGTGGTTCATGTTCAGTGTGGCACAGATTTCACTTGTAGCTTGGGCCAGGTCCCTTTAGCTTGAGCCTAAAATGTACTATGAGAGTGATGTTATTTCTCTGTTATGGAACAGAAATGAAATATCCTGGAGCTTTGCTTTCTAGTGAACGTTTTTAAAGTGGTAAATTCACGGTTACATGGAGAAGGCAAACTTTACTGTAGCTCATACAGCACCTGTTCTGTCAAAAGTAATTCATATGAAGTCTAGCTAATTTAAATAAAAATACAGAGAGAAAGAAAGAAAGAAAGAAAGAAAGAAAGAAAGAAAGAAAGAAAGAAAGAAAGAAAGAAAGAAAACTGATACACTGCACTAGTTACTAGATAATCTTAGTCCTTTTTACATGAACATTTAAGTTCTCGGATGGTTTATATAATAGGTTATGCCTACATTTATATTTAAGAGTGAATTTAAGAACCTGTTTGTAGACTCCAAGAACGCATGGGAGGTGTACCATTGTTTGAGGTCTATGTGCGGCCATACGGCCAAGAAGTTCTGCACTTTTCTGAATTTGCCACCAGGGTGATAGAATTTTTGGCAAAATAAATATTGACAGGCTTTATTGTGCTTTTTTTTTAAATTAAGCATAGAATAATGAAGATTTACATTTAAAGCAAAGGTCCAGCATACCTATAAGAAAGAGCAATGCTTATGGATTACTGGTTTGAATTTCAAGCCTTGAAAATTTCATTTATTTTTGGACAGAAATCCAGAATGAATAAGTTTAAAGCAGTGAAATGGAGAAAATACTATTAATATATTTGTTCAGAAGTGACCTTAGTACTACTTCACTCTTTTGGGGAAAAGTCTTTTCCATTGACATATACACTGATGAATATATTTTACATTTTATGGACACTGGAATTGTCATAAATACTATGCACAGTTTGAATTGGCTTCATCAGTTTATGAAGTGCCAGTGGTAGTTTGGGATGGCGAAGTGCTGAGTATAATATATAAGTAGAAGATGATTGAGGAATAATGTTACAGAATTTAGGCCATCAAACAGACTATTTTTCAATTTGTGTTGTCTTTAGTCTGTGTTGCATCCTTTTCCCATCTCTACATCTCTTGCCAGAGCAGGTTCTAGCGTTTATATAATTAAACCTTTATGTTATTTCTTAATTACTTTTTATATGCCAGTTTTCTGTTGTTCAACACAACATGCAACATCATCTATTCAGATTCTTTTTAAAAAGACACTCTAAATCGGCTGCATGATATAAAATAATTGATAGGTGGTACTTTAATTTTTGTCCAAGGCCCCAACTACAGTAATTTTGCTGTAACATCAAGCAGGGGAATTTGGCACCTGTGCACACAGTTTTCCATCTGTCTAGGGATGCACAAATGGAAGTCTCCTTCCACATGTATACAGCCCTGACTGGATCAGGGCAACAATACTCCTAGCAGCAACATTTTATTTTTCATCAGAATTTGACAGGAAATTAACACATTAATGCAGGGTACTTCTTTCACAGCACAAGAAATTTCCCTATTTTGATTTGCATCATAGCACAAAGATTTAACCAAATGCTATTGATCAGACCCCAGCAATAATTTTCTATGAGTCTTGTCTCTGGTGGAATTTTGTGGTAGTGTTTAGTTCAGTGAGACCCTTTTATATTAATTAGGTCTCTCTATGAGCATTTACACAGTATTATCAGGCCTCCTTCATTTGTATGTGACAAAATTATTAGAGAATATGGGGTTTTGTTGGTTTTTTTTTGTAATTGGATTTAACAGCCATATGAAAGGTGACTCTTAAAACTTGCTTGGCTTAGCCTTTTATTATTCTAATCAGTGCATGTCTTTTCAGGGTCTGAATCAGAAACAACAAGCAGATCATATACTTTGTAATAATTGATGATAGCAAAAATTGTCACTTCGGCCTATGTAAAAAAAATCAAAACTCATTCAAAGTTATAGATATTGAATAGGAGAATAAAAACACAGTTTCAACAGGCATGAGAAAATAAAAACTTGTTAGAAAATTCAGGTAGAAGAAACTTCCACATGCTGCTATAACATGTGGAGCTATTTTAATAGTTCAATTTTGTTAATATTTTCTAAATTATTTTAACAAAAATAGAATGCTGCCATCATGCCATACTGTTGAGCATATATTGTGGTAGCTAAAGGAATATATGACCATGTACTAGTTATGGCTCAAATATGTTAGTAGCTGAAATCCAAATATCCTATGGTGCAGCCTCTTCATCTTTACAGTGGTACTAACATACACATTCTATTGAATCCATTAGAATAGCTGCATTTTGCAAAAGTACATCATTCTGTATTCCATTTTAAATTTCAATATTGTTCCTAAAATATTTCTTTGTATGAATGGTACCTTTATAAAGAATGCGGAAAATTAGCTTTTTCTAAGTAAATTAATATCTTGATTACCTTTCTTTCCAAAACTTTGTTGACTATCCCTTAAGCAAGGGATTGAATATGGGTCAATTTACTGAATATGAGTGTTTTCTGATGCTAATAAACTTTTCTGTAGATATGCTTAATTTTTAAGCGGTTAGGCACCAAGAGTAGCAGAAATCCTGCAAAGCTTTATAGTTCATGAGGAGCACAGCCCACTTGGAAGATTCTCTGCAGAATCCTCATTGGAATGTAGGTATTGCCCAGCTTCCATTCATTCCAGTGGAAATTCTGAAGGAGAATAGCCAGATAAATTGTGCCCTGTGGTTTGTTTCTTTTGTTGTTGTTGAATGACGTCTTAATTTTAGAGACTTGCTGAATTTATTAGAATGGGGATCCCTGATTTCAGAAAGAAAGAACATTTGTTAGCACAAAAAATGTGAAACCAACAATGTATTGTTAAATTACTTTAGTTTTTATTGATTTGTGTGTTTTTTTTAAGAAATTTCATTTCTATGATACGTATTTTCATATACCAGCAATGTCACTATCAAACCTATGTCCATGAATTCATTTTGAGCAAGAAATGTTGCACCTTAACTATTTCAAAAAACCAAAATATTATGTTCTCTACTGCTTATTCCAGTATGTTGTATTATAGTTTATCAAACCCATTCTAATTTAGCAAAGTTATCAGTATTTATGCATTTAACAATATCCTCTAGGTCTGAACCTGTATATGTCTTTTTTCTTTTGCGAAACAAAATTTAAATAAGATAAACAACATATTCTACTCTCCTCTGTGGGTGGTCTCTTTCTGAAGATGAGATATTTTCTAAATATAAAATTTAGCACTGCCCAATTTTCTTTATGGTAGTTTATTTATTTAGTAATTTTTGAGTTCACATACTTCTGAGATATACACATAGTATCTGATATTGCAAGCATAGATTCAGCTGGGAGGATACTGTAATGTCATTTTCATGTAATTGTGTTAGTACTGTATTAGAGGGTGGGATGGGAAATGAGTTCTGCAAAGTATTTAATATGTGCATTAGATTTTGATTCTCCTGTTAGGGTGTTTTCCAGATTCAAGACCAAAACTAATGTAATATCTTGTGGAGCTTATATCATGCTGTTGTACTTATGACAGTATTTTTTTCTGGATTGTACTGTGATACCAGAAATAGGATATATTTATTTACAAAGATATAGTGTGCTTTTTACTAATACAATATCTGAAAGTTACAAGCAAAGGAGTTCTTTTTTTTTCTCACCTGCAATTCAATCTGTGTCATACAAAGCAAACTAAAATATTGTGAATTTCACTATTTTTTCCTAGATAACCTCTGTTGCATAAATATAGCTGCTAATCACTTATCATTTGTGGACTCTACATATTCACTTGCAAACTCAGAAGAGTTGTTTAGTGATATCACAAAGATAACATAGATGGGACGAGTGACATCTAATATATAAAAAGAGATGTACCGCTGAGGAACATTTCAGTCAGCTTTTAAAATGCATATACAGTCATTGCAACTTTATCTCCATATACAGACATACAAGAGTATTAGTTCTCATAGTGCTCAGTACTTCCCAGTAGGGGAAGTAACAATATTTATTGAATTTATACATAAGGAAGGATGAGAATATCTGCATTCCTTCTACAATATCTGGTTTTAAGATGAGGCCAGAAGAGCACAAAATTCACATTGATAGGCTTGGAATAATCCATTTGCACGGTAACCGCTACTGAAGATCTGGAGAGTGAGAATAAAAATATAGCATGATGTCTGGAGTGAGGAACCGTGCAATAACTTACTTTTGCAGATTATACCCCCAAAACCCTGATTGTTCCCTGAATAATGACTACAAAACTCAAAAATTGAGTTCTTGTAGACAATTATCACTTGATTCTCAGTGATACGTGTTTTCCAGTCAGTGGGATTGGAAAAGCTCTAATCCTTAGTACAAAGCTTGGAATGCTTTTTGTTTTCCAAGATTGATTCAGTGATTATATAAAATGTATGCTGAAAGAAACAGTTATGTGATGAGAGTTAATCAAAGCATAAGAAAAGGGCATTAACATCACATGATTTCACTGGGGGGGTGGCTTTTCTTTTTGAAGGAAAAATGTAGTAAAATTTATAATGATAATTGAGTTTGCCTTGTACCAATGTATATTTATGCCTCTCAGCTGCACTGTATTCTACGACTAATTCTGATGCTACCTCTATTAAAACTACTTCAGTTGATTTCATTTATTTTCACGATTCCTCATGAAGTCTTTTCAAGTTAATAGATGGCTATTTGGATCACACGGAAATACAGCAGTTTTCAGCAATGTAAATCTTTATGACCCACAATAATCCTCTCATTGTAATATCCATATGGCAGGTATCATAATTTTATATTATCACTAGCTTTTGGTTTACATTTTAAATCCAAAATGTAAACATATATACATACAAATATATTGCACAATACATTTGTATTAGACCTTTCTCATAGAAAGTTCTGGACAGTTTTGTTTTTTACATACTACTGCTAAAATTTAAACACACAAAACAAGACACATGCATTTTTTTCAAAAAAATATTTGTCATTGTACTATGTAGTTTTCTTCTCATGGAAAACTGGGCCAGTTCATTGATACACAGAATTTTATAGATATGAAATTAAATTAGATTTTTTGATGTGCTGTGTCTACAATATATAAAATATATTCCATGAGAACTATTCTCCCATTCTCTTATAAGTGATAATTCTAACGTGTAGTACAAAATGTGTTATAGTAGGTGCTTTTTTGTATTATTAAATTATAACATTCAATAATCCATTTTTTG